AAAGTTGTGAAGATCTTTATACAATGTTTGAAGATCGTGGTACAATGTTGTGAAGATCTTGGGACAATGTTGCAAATCGTTACAATGTTTGAAATCTGGTACAATGTTGTTAAGATCTTGGGACAATGTTTGAAGATCGTGTCAAGTTTCAAGATCGTGGGACAATGTTTGAAGACGTGGTACAAAGTTTGGGAAAATTTGGGACAAATTTTTTGGGAAATCTTGGACAATGTTGTGAAATCTTTAACAATGTTTTTGAAGATCGTGGTACAATGTTGTGAAAATCTTGGACAATGTTGTCAAGATCGTGGTACAAGTTTTTGAAGACTTGGGACAATGTTGTGAAGATCGTGGACAAAATTTGTGAAGATCGTGGTACAATTTTGGAAATCTTGGTACAATGTTTTCCAAAATCGGGTACAATGGTGAAGATCTTTGGGACAAGTTTGAAGATCTTGGGACAATTTGTAAATCTTGGTACAATGTTGTGAAAATCTTTTGGGACAAAATTGTGAAAACTTGGGACAATGTTTGAAATCGGGTACAATGTTTTTGAAGATCTTGTACAATGTTTGGGGAAAATCTTGGAAAAATGTTTGAAGATCTTGGGACAATGTTGTGAAGATCTTGGGGACAATGGTTTTAAAATCGGGTACAAAAGTTGTGAAGGCGTGGTAAATGTTGTAAAGATCGTGGGACAATGTTGTGAAGATCGGGGAAAATGTTTGAAGACGTGGTACAATGTTGTGAAGCGGGTACAAAGTTGTGAAGATCGTGGTACAATTTGTGAAATCTTTGGAAAAATTTTTGAAGACGTGGGACAATGTTTTTGAAGATCGTGGGAAAAATGTTTCAAAATCGTGGAAAATGTTTTCAAGATCGTTGGGACAATTTGTGAAGATCGTGGTACAAGTTGGAAGATCGTGGGACAATGTTTGTGAAATCTTGGTACAATTTTGAAAACGTGGGACAATGTTGGAAGATCTTGGGACAATGTTTGTGAAATCTTGGTACAATGTTTGAAGATCGTGGACAAAGTTGTGAAGATCGTGGTAAAATGTGTAAGATCGTGGTACAATTTGGGGGAAAATCGTGGTACAAAGTTGTGAAGATCTTGTACAATTTTTTGAAGATCTTGGGACAATTTTTGAAGATCTTGGTACAATGTTTGAAGATCTTGGACGGTTTTTGAAAATCGGGTACAATTTTTTGAAATCTTGGGACAATGTTGTGAAATCTTTGGGACAATGTTGTGAAATCTTGGTACAGTTTTGTGAAGATCTGGAAATGTTGGAAGACTTGGACAGTGTTGTGAGATCGGGACAATGTTGGAAGATCTGGACAATTTGTAAAGACGTGGGACAATGTTTTGAAGACTTTGGTACAATGTGAAAATCTGGGACAAGTTTTGAAGATCTTGGTACAATTTTTCAAGATCGTGTCAATGTTGTGAAGATCTTGGTACAATGTTGTGAAGATCTTGTACCAAAAGTTGAAGATCTTGGTACAATGTTTGAAAAATCGTGGGACAATGTTGTAAGATCGTGGGAAAAATTTTTAAACGTGGTACAAAGTTGTGAAGATCTTTGGGACAAGTTGTAAATCTTGGTACAATGTTGTAAGACTTGGGAAAATGTTGGAAGATCTTGGGACAATGTTTGAAGATCTTTGGGACAATGTTTGAAGATCGGGTACAAAAGTTTTTAAGATCTTGGGACAATGTTTTGAAGATCTTGGAAAAAAGTTTTGAAATCTTTGGGACAATGTTTTGGGAAAATGTGGACAATGTTTTTGGGAAATCTGGGAAATTTGTGAAATCTTTGGTACAATTTATGAAGATCTTGGTACAATGTTGGAAGATCTTGGTACAATGTTTGAAGATCTTGGTACAATGTTTGAAGACGTGGTACAATATGTGAAGACTTGGGACAATGTTGTGAAGATCTTGGGACAAGTGTGAAGATCTTGGTTTCAATTTTTTGAAGATCGTGGGACAAGTTGGAAGATCTTGTCAATGTTGTCAAGATCGTGGGACAATGTTTTAGATCTTGGTACAAAAGTTGTGAAGATCTTGGGGAAATTTGTGAAGATCTGGTACAAGTTGTGAAGATCGTGGTAAATGTTAGAAGATCTTGGGACAATGTTTGAAGATTTGGTACAATTTGGAAGACTTGGTACAATGTTGTGAAGATCTTGGACAATGTTGTGAAGATCGGGTACAATGTTTTTGAAGTCTTGGTACAATTTGCAAGACGTGGGACAAAGTTGTGAAGACTTGGGACAATGTTGTGAAGATCTTGGTACAAGTTTGAAATCTTGGTACAATGTTGTGAAAATCTTGGACAATGTTGTGAGATCGTGGTACAAATTTTTTGGGAAAATCTTTGGGAAAAAAATTTGTGAAGATCGTGGGAAAGTTGTGAAGATCGTGGTACAAGTTGTGAAGATCTTTGGGACAATGTTGTAAGACGTGGTACAATGTTTGAAGATCTTGGGACAATTTGTAAGATCGTGGTAAATGTTTGAAGACTTGGGGACAATGTTGTGAAACTTGGTCAAGTTTTGAAGAAACTTGGTAAAAGTTTTAAATCGTGTACAATGTTTTGAAGATCTTGGGACAAAAGTTGTGAAGATCGTGGTACAATGTTGTAAGACTTGGGACAATGTTGTGAAGATCGGGTACAATTTGGAAGACGTGGGCCCAAAGTGTGAAGATCTTTGGGACAATGTTGTGAAGATCTTGGTTAAAAAAATGTTGTGAAGATCTGGAAATGTTGTGAGATCTTGGTAAATGTTTTGAAGATCGTGGTACAAAGTTGTGAAGATCTTGGGACAATGTTGTGAAGATCGTGGACAATGTTTTTGAAGACTTTGGACAATGTTGTGAAGATCGTGGTACAATGTTTGAAGATCTTGGGACAATGTTGTAAGATCTTGGGACAGTTGTGAAATCTTGGTACAATGTTGTGAAGATCTTTGGGACAATGTTGTCAAATCTGGGACAATTTGTGAAGATCTTGGGACAATGTTGTGAAACGTGGACAATGTTTGAAATTTGGGACAATTTTGTAAGATCTGGTACAATGTTTGAAGACGTGGGACAATGTTGGGAAATCCTGGTACAATGTTGTGAAACTTGGTACAATGTTTTTAAGTCTTGGTACAATGTTGTGAAGACCTTGGTACAATGTTGTGAAGATCTTGGTACAATTTGTGAAGATCTTGGTACAATGTTTGAAGACGTGGGCAATGTTGTTAAATCTTTGGGACAAGTTGTGAAGACTTGGGACAATGGTTTTTAAGATCTTGGGACAATGTTGTGAGATCGTGGTACAATTTTGAAAACTGGGACAATGTTGTGAAGATCTTGGGACAATGTTGTGAAAACTTGTACAAAGTTGTGAAGATTTGGTACAAGTTTTTAAAATCTTGTACAATGTTTTAAGATCGTGGTACAATGTTGGAAGACTTGGGACAATGTTTTCAAATCGTGGTACAATTTGTAAGATCTTGGTACAATGTTGTGAAGATCTTGGGACAATGTTGTGAAGATCTTGTACAATGTTGTGAAGATGTGGTACATGTTGTGAAGACTTGGTACAATGTTGTGAAATCTTGGGACAAAGTTGTGAAATCTTGGGACAATGTTTTGAAGATCTTGGTACAATTTGTGAAGTTCGTGGGGACAATGTTGTGAAGATCTTTTTACCAAAGTTGTGAAATCTGGTACAATTTGTGAAGATCTTTGGGACAATTGTTGGAATTTGGTACAATGTTTTTGAAGATCTTGGGACAAAAAGTTGTGAAATCTTTTTACAATGTTTTTAAGACGTGGGACAATGTTTTTGAAGATCTGGTACAATTTGTGAAATCGGGACAATGTTTGAAGATCGTGGTACAATGTTGTGAAGATCTTGGGACAAGTTTTAAACTTGTCAAGTTGTGAAGATCGGGTACAAGTTGTAAAACTTGGGACAATGTTGTGAAGATCTTGGTACAATGTTGTGAAGATCTTTGGGCAATGTTTGAAGACTTGGTACAATGTTGTGAAAATCTTGGACAATGTTTGAAAATCTTGGTACAAGTTTTTGGAAGATCTTGTACAATGTTGTGAAGATCTTGGGACAATGTTTGAAGATCTTGGACAATGTTGTGAAGATCTTGGGACAATTTGTGAAATCTTGGGACAAAGTTTAAAAATCTTGGTACAATTTGTGAAGATCGTGGTACAATGTTGTGAAAATTTGGTACAATGTTGTGAAGATCTTGGACAATTTGTGAAGATCTTTGGACAATTTTTTTGAAAACTGGGACAATTTGTGAAGATCGTGGAACAAAAGTTGTGAAGATCGTGGTACAATTTTGAAGATCTTGACAATGTTGTAAGATCTTGGTACATTTTGTGAAGATCTTGGTACCCAAAGTTTTTGAAGATCTTGGACAATGTTGTGAAGATCGTGGGACAATGTTGTGAAGATCCCTTGGGACAAGTTGGAAGACGGTACAAAGTTGTGAAGATCTTGGGACAAAAGTTGAAGATCTTTGGTACAATGTTGTGAAATCTTGGGACAAAAATTTTTTGAAATCTTGGGACAAATTTTTGAAGATCTTGGTACAATTTGTGAATACCGTGACTCCTTGTTGTTTATGTTTTTTTTTTTTTTTTTTTTTTGTTTTTTGTTCCCTTTTTTTTTTTTTTTTTTTTTTTTTTTTTTTTTTTTGTTTTTTTTTTTTTTTTTTTTTTTTTTTTTTTTTTTTTTTTTTTTTTTTTTTGTTTTGTCTTTTTCTCCTTGTTCTTGTTCCCCTTTTCTTGTTCCCCGTTCTTGTTCCGTTCTTTTTTGTTTTTTTGTTTTTTCCCTTTTTCTTGTTCCCCTTTTTCTTGTTCTCCTTGTTCTTGTTCTCCTTTTTTTGGCTCCTTGTTTTTGTTTTCCTTTTCTTGTTCCCTTGTTCTTGTTTCCTGTTTTTTTTCTTGTTTCCTTTTTCTTGTTTTCCTTTTTTTTTCTTTCCCCTTTTTCTCTTTTCTTGTTTCTGTTTCTCCTTTTCTTGTTTTTTCCTTGTTCTTGTTTCCTTTTTCTTTTTCTTGTCCCTTTTCTTGTTTTCCTTTTTTTTTTTTTCCTGTTCTCCTTTTCTTGTTTATGTTCCCTTGTTCTTGTTTTCCTTGTTCTTGTTCTCCTTTTCTTGTTCCCTTGTTCTTGTTTTTTCTTCTCTTTTTCTCCTTGTTCTTGTTCTCCTTGTTCTTTTTCCCTTGTTCTTGTTCTTGTTCCCTTGTTTTTGTTCTCCCTTGTTCTTTTTTTCTCCTTTTTCTTTTCTCTTTGTTTTTGTTCTCCTTGTTCTTTTTCTTGTTCTCCTTGTTCTTGTTCTCCTTGTTCTTTTTTCTTTTTCCCCTTTTTCTTTTTCTTGTTCTCCTTGTTCTTTTCTTTTCTCCTTGTTCTTGTTCTCCTTGTTCTTGTTTCCTCTTGTTCTTGTTTTTTTCCTTGTTCTTGTTCTCCTTGTTCTTTTTTTTCTCCTTGTTCTTGTTCTCCTTGTTCTTGTTCTCCTTGTTCTTGTTCTTGTTCTCCTTGTTCTTGTTCTCCTTGTTCTTGTTCTCCTTGTTCTTGTTCTCCTTGTTCTTGTTCTCCTTAATCTTGTTCTCCTTGTTCTTGTTCTTGTTCTCCTTGTTCTTGTTCTCCTTGTTATTTTTCTTGTTCTCCTTGTTCTTGTTCTCGTTGTTCTTGTTCTTGTTCTCCTTGTTCTTGTTCTCCTTGTTCTTGTTCTCCTTGTTCTCGTTCTCCTTGTTCTTGTTTCCTTGTTCTTGTTCGTTCCCTTGTTTTTGTTCTCCTTGTTCTTGTTCTCCTTGTTCTTGTTCTCGTTCTCCTTGTTCTTGTTCTCCTTGTTCTTGTTCTCCTTGTTCTTGTTCTATTTGTTCTTGTTCTCCTTGTTCTTGTTCTCCTTGTTCTTGTTCTCCTTGTTCTTGTTCTTGTTCCCTTGTTCTTGTTCCCTTTTTTTTGTTCTCCGCCCCCCCCCCTTGCATTCCCTTGTTTTTTTTTTTCTTGGTTATTGTTTTTTTTTGTTTGTTTTTGTTTTTGTTTTTTTGTTTTTGTTCTTTCCTTGTTTTGTTCCCCCTTTTTTTGTTTTAGTTTTTTTTTTGTTTCCTTGTTCTTGTTTCCCTTTTTCTTGTTCTCCTCGTTCTTTTTCTTGTTCCCTTGTTCTTTTTTTCTCCTTGTTCTTGTTCTCCTCGTTCTTGTTCTTGTTCTCCTTGTTCTTTTCTCTCACTATCCCGAATCTCGACACTCTGCACTACTTGCAATACTCTGCACTACCCTGCACATCTTGCACTATCCTTTTCACTATCTCGCACACCCCCGCACTATCCCGACTTTCTCTGACTATCCCTGCACTATCCCTGCACTATCTCTGCACTATCCCTGCACTATCTCTGCACTATCCCTGCACTATCTCTGCACTATCTCCGCACTATCCCTGCACTATCCCTGCACTATCCCTGCACTATCCTGCACTTCCTGGGGAAATCCCTGCACTATCTCTGCACTATCTCTGCACTATCTCTGCACTATCCCTGCACTATCTCTGCACTATCTCTGCACTATCTCTGCACTATCCCTGCACTATCTCTGCACTATCCCTGCACTATCTCTGCACTATCCCTGCACTATCTCTGCACTATCTCTGCCTATCCAGCACTTTTCTGCATATCCCTGCACTATCTCTGCACTATCTCTGTACTATCTCTGTACTATCTCTGCACTATCTCTGCACTATCTCTGCACTATCTCTGCACTATCTCTGCACTATCTCTGTACTATCTCTGCACTATCTCTGCACTATCTCTGCACTATCTCTGTACTATCTCTGTACTATCTCTGCACTATCTCTGCACTATCCCTGCACTATCTCTGCACTATCTCTGCACTATCTCTGCACTATCTCTGCACTATCTCTGCACTATCTCTGCACTATCTCTGCACTATCTCTGCACTATCTCTGTACTATCTCTGCACTATCTCTGCACTATCTCTGCACTATCTTTGCACTATCCCACTATCTCTGTCTATCTCTGCAAATATCTCGCACTATCTCGTACTTCCACTGCAAAGATGAGAGTGGGGGGTCACATCCTGGGTGTTAATGGACTGGTGTGGGTCACATCCTGGTTTTTAGAGGACTGGTGTGGGTCACATCCTGGGTGTTAGTGGACTGGTGTGGGTCCCATCCTGGTTTTTAGAGGGCGGTGTGGGTCACATCCTGGGTTTAGTTGGGCTACCCTCACTTCTAATACCACCCACCCCCTTCTAATACCCCCACCCTCACTTTTAATACCACCCCACCCCCACTTCAATACCCCCACCCTCACTTCTAATACCCAAAACCCACCCCCACTTCTAATACCACCCACCCCTCACTTCAATACCACCCACCCTCACTTCTAATACCACCCACCCTCACTTCAATTCAATTCAATTCAAAGTTTATTCTCTATAAAGATTACAAAGTTGAATTTACAGAATTTGGTTGTTGTGTGGGGTTACATGTAGTTAAATAAAGATTACAGAGTGTACCACTAGAACACCCAGCATGGCTTGGGGTATTACAGAGTGTACCACTAAAACACCTAGCATGGCTAGGTATTACAGAGTGTACCACTAGAACACCTAGCATGGCTAGGTATTACAGAGTGTACCACTAGAACACCTAGCATGGCTAGGTATTACAGAGTGTCCCACTAGAACACCTAGCATGGCTAGGTATTACAGATTTGTACCCTAGAACACCTACATGGCTAGGCATTACAGAGTGTACCACTAGAACACCTAGCATGGCTGGGCATTACAGAGTGTACCACTAAAAACACCTAGCATGGCTAGGCATTACAGAGTGTCCCACTAGAACCCTAGCAGGCTAGTATTACAGAGTGTACCACTAGAACACCTGCAGGGCTAGGCATTACAGAGTGTACCACTAGAACACCTGCATGGCTGGGCATTACAGAGTGTACCACTGAACACCTAGCATGGCTAGGCATTACGAGTGTACCACTAGAACACCAGCATGGCTAGGTATTACAGAGTGAAACCACTAGAACACCTAGCATGGCTAGGCATTACAGAGTGTACCACTAAACACCTAGCATGGCTAGGCATTACAGAGTGTACCACTAGAACACCTAGCATGGCTAGGCATTACAGGGGTGTACCACTAGAACACCTAGCATGGCTAGGTATTACAGAGTGTACCACTAAAAACACTAGCATGGCTAGGCATTACAGAGTGTACCACTAAACACCTAGCATGGTAGGTATTACAGAGTGTACCACTAGAACCCCAAGCATGGCTAGGTATTACAGAGTGTACCACTAGAACACCTACCCTGGCTAGGTATTACAGGGGTGTCCACTTAGAACACCTAGCATGGTGGGTTTATTACAGAGTGTACCACTAGAACACCTAGCATGGTAGGTCATTACAGAGTGTACCACTAGAACACCTAGCATGGCTAGGTATTACAGAGTGTACCACTAGAACACCTAGCATGGCTAGGTATTACAGAGTGTACCACTAGAACACCTAGCATGGCTAGGCATTACAGAGTGAAACCACTAGAACACCTAGCAGGGGCTGGGTATTACAGAGTGTACCACTAGAACACCTAGCATTGGCTAGGCATTACAGAGTGTACCACTAGAACACCTAGCATGGCTAGGCATTTCGGGCAGACTTAGTTTAATTCTTTATTTTAAAATATTACAAATTATTACCTGCAGTTTACCTGGAGAGAGTTCTGGGGGTCAACGCCCCCGCGGCCCGGTCTGTGACCAGGCCTCCTGGTGGATCAGAGCCTGATCAACCAGGCTGTTGCTGCTGGCTGCACGCAAACCAACGTACGAGCCACAGCCCGGCTGATCAGGAACTGACTTTAGGTGCTTGTCCAGTGCCAGCTTGAAGACTGCCAGGGGTCTGTTGGTAATCCCCCTTATGTGTGCTGGGAGGCAGTTGAACAGTCTCGGGCCCCTGACACTTATTGTATGGTCTCTTAACGTGCTAGTGACACCCCTGCTTTTCATTGGGGGGATGGTACATCGTCTGCCAAGTCTTTTGCTTTCGTAGTGAGTGATTTTCATGTGCAAGTTCGGTACTAGTCCCTCTAGGATTTTCCAGGTGTATATAATCATGTATCTCTCCCTCCTGCGTTCCAGGGAATACAGGTTTAGGAACCTCAAGCTCTCCCAGTAATTGAGGTGTTTTATCTCCGTTATGCGCGCCGTGAAAGTCCTCTGTACATTCTCTAGGTCGGCAATTTCACCTGCCTTGAAAGGTGCCGTTAGTGTGCAGCAATATTCCAGCCTAGATAGAACAAGTGACCTGAAGAGTGTCATCATGGGCTTGGCCTCCCTAGTTTTGAAGGTTCTCATTATCCATCCTGTCATTTTTCTAGCAGATGCAGGTAGTTGGTATTATGGCTAAGTGACTAAATACTAGTTTGTGGGTTTAGCAATGTGTATGCTTTTGTTTTGGCACAGTACATAGTTTCAGTATTGGAGTATCACAGGATTCATTATTTTAAGATTGAGATTAATATTTCTGTTTATGGTCAAATGGGTGAGTGAGTGTAAGTGTGAACCACCAGGTGGTATTCGTGTAGTTAGTTGATGGGGTGTATCAGGGAGATAAGATGTTTTCTAATGGTAGTTTTGAAGGTGATGAATGTGTCTGCAGTTCTAGAGTTCTCAGGTAGGGTGTTCCAGATTTTAGGGCCTTTGACATACATTGAATTTTTGTAAAGGTTTAGTCGGACATGGGGAATGTCGTAGAGATGTTTGTGTCTGGTGTTATGCCTGTGGGTTCTGTCACAACTATCAAGAAAGGTTTAGGTCAAGGTTGATATTTTGAGTTTTTAAAGGGCCCCGTAGATGTAGATTGCACAGTAGTAAGTGTGGATGTACTGAACTGGAAAATAAGTTTAGGTCTATGAGAGTGGGGGGGGGGGGTGTTGCCAGGGATGGGATTTAGTGATTATTCTTTTCTCAGCTTTTTGTTGGGTTATTATTGGCTTTAGGTGTGTTGCTGCAGTTGATCCCCAAGCACAAATAGCATAGGTGAGGTATGGATAAATAAGTAAGTGGTATAGTGTGAGAAGGGCATTTTTGCGGCACGTAGTATCGTACTTGGAGAGGATCCCAACCGTTTTGGATTAAATTTTTTGGTTATGTGTTGGATATGGGTGCTGAAATTCAGGTTGTTGTCAAGGTTTTAGGCCCAGGAATTTGCCCTCATTATGTCTGGTAATTAGAGTGTTGTCGATCTTAATGTTAATTTTTGCATCTCCTGCTCTGCTACCAAACATAATTAGTAGGTTTTGTCAGTGTTAAGCGTAGTTTATTGGCTGTCTCCAAGTCGATATTTTGATCAGCTCCTCGTTAACAATGGTGTTGAGGGTGGCAAGATTAGGGTGAGAGATGACATAAGGCGTGTGTCAGCAAAGAGAATGGGTTTCAGGTGTTGGGGTACGTTTGGAAGATCATTGATGTATATGAGGGAAAAGCAGGGGGACCAAGACACTTCCCTGCGGAAGTCCAGTATCAAGTGGCCGTGTTGTTGATGCATGTCTTTAATGGTAACATACTGATACCTATTAGTAAAAGGTAATACTTGAAATAAGCAGCGCATGGCCTCTTATAACCGTAATGGTCAAGTTGTGGAGTAGGATGTCGTGGTTACTGTGTCAAAAGCTTTTCTAGGTCAATAAAAAATTTCCCAGTGGATTTCCTTATTTTCCAATGCTGTGTAAAGCAGATCTAGCATTTTTATGATTTCAAACATTAGTGCTTTTATTTTTCCCAAATCCAAATTGGCAGGGGTTGAGTATGTTTTTTTGCTGTTATAAATGAATATAGTCTCCT